TGTTTCAGGGCCTGATAGTCTTCTTAACATAGACACTCAGGTCACCGTCTAACAAAAGTCTCCCATTTAGCTGACGCTTTTATCCAAAGCGACTTACAATAAGTGCATTCGACCAAGAAAATACAACCTTGAAGAAAACAGAATCATATAAGTACATCAGGTTTCATAGAGCTAAAACATTTCAAGTGCTACTCAACTGGCTTTAGGTAAGCCAGTCCTTTATATAAGTGCTTTGTTGGTAATTCTATCGCTCGAAGTTGAGTCGAAAGAGATGAGTTTTCAGTCTGCGCCGGAATATGTGTAAGCTATCTGCTGTCCTGATGTCAATGGGGAGCTCATTCCACCATTTTGGAGCCAGGACAGCAAACCCACGTGTTTTTGCTGATGGGAACTTGGGTCCCCCTCGCAGGGAGGGTGCAGCGAGCTGTTTTGTTGATGCAGAGCGGAGTGCACGTGCTGGGGTGTACGGTTTAACCATGTCCTGGATGTACGAAGGGCCAGATCCATTCGCAGCATGGCAAGCAAGTACCATTGTCTTGAAGGGGATTCTAGCAGTTACGGGAAGCGGAGGAGCGGCGTGGTGTGGGAACATTTTGGAAGGTTAAATAGAGTATTGATTGATTACATACTTACAGTATCTTTTCCAGTTAGTTTAGCAACACTATACAATATCAATAATAAACATCGACACAGTTCTGACTTGGTGTCTAGCATAACTTGGGGACTACTGATAGGATTATGAAAAGCAATATTTACTTTCTTTTGAAGGAAAATAAAATATTTGTTTTGGAATATGCAAATCTTAGATACAAATCTCAAAGCTTACATAAATAGATTTATATTTCCCCCCAACCCATTATTGACCTTAATGAGGGCATCTGCCAATTAGATAGGAATAAGTAGTCCGGCTCCTTGTTTTAAAAAGGGAGAAAAATAGCTTCTGGGATAAAAAGATTAACTCGGATAGCTTTTACATCTGTGTGTGTATTTGCAGTTATACCAATAAAGAAAATATGGAGTTTGATTATGGAGCATTGCAATGAAAAAAAAAGAAATGTGTCCATCTGTTGTGTTACTACTGTGATGATTATGTGTTTGCCTTTCCAGACTCAAGACGTGTAATTTTCCACACCTCAACTTTGAGTCACAAATCTGGTTTTTATGAAAGTCGGTTTGTTCATACAGAAGCAAACAACTCAAACCTAGTCACATAATAACAGAGAGAGACATTGATTTGTGAGAATGCAAAAACATATTTATTTCTAAACTAGCCACACTTGTATTGCAACCTTGCCTATGCAGAGTCACAAAGCACTTTACTAAGGCCTAAATATAAATGTGAGAAAGGAGATCGACAGTAAATATAATAAAGAAAATCAAAGCAAGCAAGTACAAATAAAACCCAAAAAGGATAGTGCTGAATGTAACTCTAGTGACCCTGAGGATAGTCGATCCCCTGTATGTACATGCTGAATGTAACTCTAGTGACCCTGAGGAAAGTCGATCCCCTGTATGTACATGCTGAATGTAACTCTAGTGACCCTGAGGAAAGTCAGTTCCCTGTATGTACATGCTGAATGTAACTCTAGTGACCCTGAGGATAGTCGATCCCCTGTATGTACATGCTGTAAGTAACTCTAGTGACCCTGAGGAAAGTCGATCCCCTGTATGTACATGCTGAATGTAACTCTAGTGACCCTGAGGAAAGTCGGTCCCCTGTATGTACATGCTGAATGTAACTCTAGTGACCCTGAGGATAGTCGATCCCCTGTATGTACATGCTGTAAGTAACTCTAGTGACCCTGAGGAAAGTCGATCCCCTGTATGTACATGCTGAATGTAACTCTAGTGACCCTGAGGAAAGTCGGTCCCCTGTATGTACATGCTGAATGTAACTCTAGTGACCCTGAGGATAGTCGATCCCCTGTATGTACATGCTGAATGTAACTCTAGTGACCCTGAGGAAAGTCGATCCCCTGTATGTACATGCTGAATGTAACTCTAGTGACCCTGAGGATAGTCGATCCCCTGTATGTACATGCTGAATGTAACTCTAGTGACCCTGAGGAAAGTCGATCCCCTGTATGTACATGCTGAATGTAACTCTAGTGACCCTGAGGAAAGTCGATCCCCTGTATGTACATGCTGAATGTAACTCTAGTGACCCTGAGGATAGTCGATCCCCTGTATGTACATGCTGAATGTAACTCTAGTGACCCTGAGGAAAGTCGATTCCCTGTATGTACATGCTGAATGTAACTCTAGTGACCCTGAGGAAAGTCAGTTCCCTGTATGTACATGCTGAATGTAACTCTAGTGACCCTGAGGATAGTCGATCCCCTGTATGTACATGCTGAATGTAACTCTAGTGACCCTGAGGAAAGTCGGTCCCCTGTATGTACATGCTGAATGTAACTCGAGTGACCCTGAGGAAAGTCGATCCCCTGTATATACATGCTGAATGTAACTCTAGTGACCCTGAGGAAAGTCGATCCCCTGTATGTACATGCTGAATGTAACTCTAGTGACCCTGAGGAAAGTCGGTCCCCTGTATGTACATGCTGAATGTAACTCGAGTGACCCTGAGGAAAGTTGATCCCCTGTATGTACATGCTGAATGTAACTCTAGTGACCCTGAGGAAAGTCGGTCCCCTGTATGTACATGCTGAACGTAACTCTAGTGACCCTGAGGAAAGTCGATTCCCTGTATGTACATGCTGAATGTAACTCTAGTGACCCTGAGGAAAGTCGATCCCCTGTATGTACATGCTGAATGTAACTCTAGTGAACCTGAGGAAAGTCGATTCCCTGTATGTACATGCTGAATGTAACTCTAGTGACCCTGAGGATAGTCGATCCCCTGTATGTACATGCTGAATGTAACTCTAGTGACCCTGAGGAAAGTCGATCCCCTGTATGTACATGCTGAATGTAACTCTAGTGAACCTGAGGAAAGTCGATTCCCTGTATGTACATGCTGAATGTAACTCTAGTGACCCTGAGGAAAGTCGATTCCCTGTATGTACATGCTGAATGTAACTCTAGTGACCCTGAGGAAAGTCGATTCCCTGTATGTACATGCTGAATGTAACTCTAGTGACCCTGAGGAAAGTCGATTCCCTGTATGTACATGCTGAATGTAACTCTAGTGACCCTGAGGAAAGTCGATCCCCTGTATGTACATGCTGAATGTAACTCTATTGACCCTGAGGAAAGTCGATTCCCTGTATGTACATGCTGAATGTAACTCTAGTGACCCTGAGGAAAGTCGATTCCCTGTATGTACATGCTGAATGTAACTCTAGTGACCCTGAGGAAAGTCGATCCCCTGTATGTACATGCTGAATGCAATCTGAACAAAAGGTTATGTTTGTTTTCAACATTTTATGGGGGAGAGTAAAGTGTGCATGCTGTGACGACCCCTCCACACCACGTGGGGTGCCGTCTGGTTGTGTGTGTGTTTTGTGTGTGATTGCAGGTTCCAGCTGCAGCTGTCTGATGAGGCGCACCTGCCAGATGAGCTACACCTGATGAAACAGGATATAGGAGGAGCCCAGACGGTTACGTCGCTCTCACTCCTCTGGGCACTTTCTCTGCGCCAGTTTCGGGGACCTGATGCTGGTGTCTATTTAGTTGACGTGTTTAACAAATAAACGTATATTCTTACCTCTCGTCTCGCCTCCCTGCTTTATGTTACAGCCCACGAGCCGGGTTGTAACAATGCTATCATCGTAAACAGGTAAACAACAATGTCTACATAAAAACGTGAGTTTGTCTGAATAGCTAACTTACTCCTGCGTTTACTACATTCTCTCACTTTTTGTCCTGATCCATTTATATAAAATAATGTCTGAAAATGAGCTGATCAGATTTTGGCCACTTTATGATGTCATAACGAGCATTTGGCTTGTGTAACCATTAGCCAATAACCAACCAACCGAGGTAACCCCCCCCCGCCACCTTATCACCTGAATCTCCTCCTAGAGCACCATTGTGTTCTTTTTAACCAAATCTCTCTCAGAGGGGCGTGGGGAGGGGCTCCTTATTTTCATCTAAAGTAACAGACAGAGAATCAGCACTTTTGAAACAGGGCTGAAACAGAGGGGATTATGGGATGCTAAAATGCACGATCTGTTTGGTATTTTGAGCCAAACACTTCAGAGATATGTTTTGTATATATCTGAGACCTATAATATATTGATGAAAAGAGTATAATAGGGGACCTTTAATGTAATGATCTGCTATGAACAACGAGACCTGAACATCCGATGGTGGTTCTCATAACTGCACTGACACATCTCAAACAGCTTCAGGACCACGGAAAGCTCTACACGCAATATGAAAACCAGTGCTGTGTGCAGAGCTGTCCGTGGTCCTGAAATACTGGGATTGTCAGGAAGTTAGCTAGATTCAAATATGAATTAAATGAAACTCTAAACGTCAATCAAACTTCTAATCTTGTATTGGCATGTTTGACCCTGACATGATGCAAGTCTGCTTTTGTAAATAAAAATCAAATGTAAAGCTTGCTACCGGGACTTTGGGAACATCTCCTGATGTATGAAATGCTTTGAGTTTGCAAGTGTGAAAGTAGGTCTTGTTGGCCTTGTCCTGTGGAATGTATTCAGCCCCTTTGGAAGTACGGCAGGCTGTAGTTCCTTTGATCCAAATGTCAACGTGACCCACAGGTTGTTGTTATATAATGCTGTTTTCTGTGTTTCCAGAGGTGTGCAAGGGAATGTGTGTATGTGGAAGGAAAGTACATGAAATATCAGATGAGTTCTAGGACATCTGTGCTTTTGTGTTTGATTCTTCTTAGAAGCAGAGAGGGATGGCTATTAAAGCAGGGGGAACGCAGATTATGGCCTGAGTGAGGTGCATTGATCGCGTGTGTGTGTGTGTGTGTGTGTGTGTGTGTGTGTGTGTGTGTGTGTGTGTGTGTGTGTGTGTGTGTGTGTGTGTGTGTGTGTGTGTGTGTGTGTGTGTGTGTGTGTGTATACCTGCAGACAGAGCACTGCCTCTGAGGCTGCAGGGCGGTGAACATGACGATGACAGAGTAGTTCCTGGGCGGGGCCTTGACGAAGCGACGGAACTTGTCCCCGTTCATCCGGACGACGGAGCGCCGAGAGGACCACTCCATCATCTGGTCCACCTTCTCCGACAGCAGGTTCTGAATAAAACACACAAGGAAAAGGGCAGTGAGGAAAATGCATATCATTAAGACCTTAGATTCAAACAGGAATATTACTCCTTTGAGTCCAACAGAGTTAAGCGACAGCAGATTTTAAAAAGGAATTTAGATTATTTGAAATGTAAGAAACTCTTCAGTTGGAATGCCACTAAGTACATTACATTTGTTTTCCGACTTGTTTGTGCAGCTTTATTAACTACATTTCAGAGAGAAATGTCAAATGTGTTATTATTATCAAGTGTTGTAGTTACTTTCCATGTTGAAAATGAGCATATAAACATACAAAGACAGTTTTAAATATGATACATTATTCGATTGATATTCCTCAAAAATATTAATGTTACATATTATTACAATTAAAGGTGGGGTAGGTAATTTTGGAGAAACCAGTTTGAGTGCGCTAGAATTTGAAAATACACAGCCGGAAAAAATCTGCCACTTCCTTACAGAGCCCCTCCTCCAACACACACGAACGCGCACATGACCAATGAGGGCACGAGATAAGTTTGTGCACAGATGGAAGGCTGACAGGCAGGTAGGCCATCCAGTTACTTTAGCCGGGCCGGCTCAAATGATTGGTCGTGCTCTTTACAGTACCACGGCTTCCACAGTTGAATTTTTGTTATGGATTTTTTGTCAAAGCACTTAAGATATTCATTGCTATCGGGATGTTAAGAGCATTCCATGGAATATAACAAAAAGTGTATCTCGAGCCGGTTTCTCAAAATTACCTACCCCACCTTTAAGCTCAAGATAGAAAATATAAAGATGCTTTAGGTAAAAATAGTTGCTAATATATAAAGAGGAATACTTTTACTCGTATTCATGTAATTCCCATAATGCTGCAGTTCCATACTGTGGCATTACTACTTTTAATAATATGTATTCTGCTATCGCTCCTGTCATAGGAGAAAAAGCTCCAAAGAGAAGATGAAAGACATGCTTTTACATTCTGAAAAATAATAAAATAATATCACCCAGCTTGCCACAGAATACATAAAAGTCCTTGATTTGGTTTCGCCCTAAAATAGTCTATTTATTTGTAATATATTCCAACTATTCAATGACCAGCGAGGAGCTGTACTTGATATGATGGCTGCTTTGAAAAGTCCAAATCTAGGACTAGAAAGGAAAAGCACAATCTGGAGATTGAACACAGGAGTTCTGAACCAAATTAGGCCTCAAATCAGGACCCATATAAAAGATTATCTGAACGACAATGACAATGGAGAAGTGTCCCCAATAATCTTGTGGGATGCATGCAAAGCTGTCCTAAAAGGAAAAATAATTGGCTATTCCTCAAACATAAATAAGCAAAGAAAAGAGAAAACAAATCAGCTTCAAACAGAACTAAAACATCTAGAAAATATACATAAGAAAGCCCTAAATACAAAAACTAAAATGGAAATAGATAACAAAAAGAACGAACTCCATGAAATCCTCTCTAACGACATAAAAAATAAAATGATCTTTCTAAAACAAAGTTACTATGAGGTAGGAGGTAAATCAGCAAAACTATTGGCTTACAAACTAAAAAAACAACAGGTAGAAAACACAATTTACAAAATAAAAGACCCTGAAACAAGTATTATACATAGTAATCTAAAATACATACAACAAACGTTTGTCTGTTTCTATAAAAACCTATACACACAGCCTAAAATAGATAAAACCAACATCAGGAGTTTCCTTGACTTGATCACTTTCCCTAAAGTGAGGGATGAGCAAAATCACAATTTAATTAGAGAAATTACGGGAAAAGAAATAGAAAAGGCAATCGCTGATTTAAAACCCAATAAAGCCCCAGGCCCAGACGGTTTCCCTTCTGAATGGTACAGGGAAATGATGGATCTACTGATCCCAACAATGAGGGATGCTTTTAACCACGTGCTTCAGACAGGTATAGCTCCCCCCTCATGGGGCGAAGCAGTAATCTCCCTGATACCAAAGGAAGGGAAAGACAAATGTGACTGTGGAAGCTATCGTCCAATAAGTGTGCTAAATCAAGACTATAAGATCTTTACCCACATTTTGGCAAAAAGACTCGAAGAAATCCTCCCTCAGATAATAAATCTAGATCAGACAGGATTTATCAAACAACGGCAAACTCAAGATAATATCCGCAGAACTCTACATATAGTTGAACATATATCCAAAAACAAACTCCAGGCAGTACTTTTGAGCCTTGATGCAGAAAAAGCCTTCGATCGAGTTAATTGGAAATTCCTATACCAAGTTCTTGAAAAGTTTGGCTTTCACAAGACATTTATTAATACTGTTCAAGCATTGTACGACAACCCTTATGCAAAAATAAAAATAAATGGAGCCATATAAAAATTCTTTCAACCTTGAGAGAGGGACACGACAGGGATGTCCAATTAGCCCTCTGTTATTCGCAATTTATATCGAAGCTCTGAGTTTGGGGGTTACTCAAAATAACAATATTACCGGCATAAAAGTATATGGCAGGAACATAAATTATCATTATTTGCTGATGATATATTAATATACCTGTCAAACCCAGATGAATCATTCTTGAGTTTACTGACCTTTTTGGATACTTATAGTTCTGTCTCAGGGTACAAACCCAATATAACAAAAACCCAAATACTGAGCTTTAATTACAAGCCAAGCCAACATATAAACTCGACCATTGTTCTTAATTGGGAACTGGACCACTAAAAATATCTGGGAGTAAACATTTCTAAAGATTCAGAGGACTTGTATACACTAAATTTCAACCCTCTAAATCAGAAAATAAAAGAAGACATAAATAGATGGAACTTGATCCCAGTGCTGAGCTTTGAATCTCGAATAGAATCAGTGAAAATGAACATCCTACCTAGACTTTTATACCTTTTCCAGAATCTACCAATTGAAATCACAGACAAACAGTTTAACGAATGGGATAAAACCATATCAAGGTACATTTGGCAAGGGAAGAAACCAAGGATTAGATTCTGTACTCTTCAACTAGCAAAAAACAAGGGAGGAGTAGCGCTCCCCTGCTTGAAGGACTACTATATATCAGCCCAATTAAGAAGCTTGTTCTGCTGGTGCAAGCCAGACTACAGAGCTAGATGGAAATAAATTGAGAATAATGTATCAGGAGAAGTACCAATCGAGGCAAGGTTAGGGGATAAAAAACATATTAAAAACTTACTGGAAAAAGATAACCGCTGGATCAACCTCTCTTTAAAACTATGGCTGAGGGCCATCACCAGGAGTGACTTTCTGGAGGAAATGAAGATATTAAGATGGTGCTCACATGATCTTGATTTCACCCCAAGCAAGCTAGATACAACATTTAAAGGCTGGGCCAAACATGGCCTTACTTCATATTGCACATTTTTCAGCAAAGGAACTATGTTTGATTTTCAAACATTAAAAAAACGATATGGGTTGAATAACGGTGATTTTTTTAGATTTCTACAGGTACGCCATTACTTAAATAGTTCTCTGTCAGACAGCCAGAAGGCCCTTGAAAACCCTTTATTAATAGTTTTCACCAGTGCATACACATCAGACACAGGGATGAAAGTAATCTCCAAACTTTACCAAGCTCTTCAAGATATTAAAAAGGAAAATACTTTCTATATAAAACACAAATGGGAAAACGAAACAAAAAAAACCATACCTGACGAAGTTTGGACAAGCTACTGTACTTTTCAATGGAAGATCTCTAGCTCAGGCACCTACAGAATGTTTAGTTGGAAGATGCTGAGCAGGTATTTTTTCAGCCCTGCCCAGTCATCACATCAGCTAGGGCCCCCCAGCTGCTGGAGGAAATGTGGTTCTCAGTTAGCACATCACTACCATTTGTTTTGGACTTGCCCTTTAATAGTAACTTTTTGGCAAAAGATCCATGTAGAAATTGAAATAATACTACAGGAAAAAATCCCATTAAACTGGGACGAATTTCTATTTGGGCTCGTACATTCAATCCCCTCAAACTTAAAAACAAAACAATTATTTGGAATTCTTACTGTTGCAGCAAAAAAAGCAATAACTAGAAAATGGCTCAAAGCAGACATCCCCTCTCTTGACAACTGGTATGACAAAATCCATGAAATCTATATCATGGAAAGAATCACATTCTCAATGAGGCAACAGGAAAACACATTTGAGGAAATATGGAAAAAGTGGAGAATTTACATATCCCAAAGACGACCATCCCTTGTTTGACTGTTCCTATACACCGATTGAATGTATATAGATGTGTATGTATGTACACATGTATGTGTGTGTGTATTGTATGCATATATGCATGTTGATATGAATGCATATGTACATGTGTAGACATTTGCTATTTCAAACAACCCCTGTGTACTTTTTCGTTTTTATTTTATTTTGACTAATTTTGTTTTCTATTTCATTTGTCACTTTCGGGTCTCTAAAAATATATGATTTGAAAAACTGTACTTGTATTATAATGTGACCCCAAATAAATAAAGAATTAAAAAAAAAAAAAAAAAGTCCAAGGCTCGTACACAGAAAAGTGTTTCTGAATGCCAGTTCCTGAATCATGATTTTAAATAGGCTGACTCTCTGCCTGTTGTGACTAATGGTATTCAAACAAAGAAATACAACACACCTAACCATTATTAATAAAGAAGGATCTCTGGCTTCACAGTGTGTGTGTGTGTGTGTGTGTGTGTGTGTGTGTGTGTGTGTGTGTGTGTGTGTGTGTGTGTGTGTGTGTGTGTGTGTGTGTGTGTGTGTGTGTGTGTGTGTGTGTGTGTGTGTGTGTGTGTGTGTGTGTGTGTGTGTGTGTGTGTGCAGGAGAGCCACAGTTCCAGGCTTTGTTTGTGTGTGAATTGTAGGTGCTGAATTAATCCGGTCCGGCTTAGCGAAAAGGTCACAACAGAGTCAGCATCGGAACATAACGCTAAAGATGAACAACACACAGGATACATGCACACACAAAAACACCAGCTAGTGCCTTGGCAACGTTTATAAAGCTGAAATGCTTATGATGG